CCCGCCCCCGCCCCCCCGGCGGACCCGCGCCGACGACACCGTGTTCTTCGCCATCGCCCCGCGCCCTGCCCTGGCCCCTGCTCCGAGCCCTGTCGCGGCCGCGCCGCTCGCTCCGTTCCTGCAGGGCGGTGCCGGCGTCCCGCGCCGCCGCTTCCTGCCGCCGCTTCCGCCTCGTACTTCCGCGCACGCGTAGCGATGCACCCTCCCCTGCCTCCAGCTCCCTCGGTGCGCGCGTGCGCAAAGAAAAGGCCTTGTCCCGGAACCGTCGGGGTTCGAGGGCCGTTGGCGGTTGGGCGGTGCCAGGCCCCGCGCCCCGCCCTTCCCGCGGCTGAGGCGAAACCCTGGCGTGGGGTCTAGCCCTGTGCCGCTCCCTGAGCTCTGGCCGCCGTGAGGGGCGCGCAGGAGGGAGCTCTGGCAAAGCGGGAGCTCGTCAGCCGTGTCCCCTGTGGGGAAGACCTGGGGGGCGCCGGTTAGCGGGCGTCTCAACCGCTTTTACATCGCTACATGAGTGGTCTACATCCTTTTTAGGGTGAAGCTCACTTTTTGAAGTAAAGGGGCAACCCAGGATCTGCGCGCCATACCCCCGCCCAGCAGGCCACTTCATGGGGGAGGGGTGGGGAGCCGATTGAGGCCCCCCCCCGAGGGAGGGAGGGAGGGAGTGGGGCCCTGGCCTGGCTGAGTGAAGTGAGGGACGCAGCCGGGACACTCATCATGGCGCGTGCGTGCGGGGGGGGGGCTCCTGCTGCTGCTGCACACACCCCAGCAGAGGGTGTCCCGTTCCCCCCCCTCCCCCAGTCTGTGTTGTCCCCAAAGGACAGTGAGTTTGTGCCTGGTGCGCTTGTGCCAATAAACACACAGGGGTGAAGGATCCAACTTAATCTTTATTTCTGCGCAGAAAGTGGTGCTTGGCAATTGTTCGCAAAGCAAGCACACCCACCCGAGTGGGCATTAGCTTTATATAAACTCTTCTAGCCTTACACGCTATGCAGTTACTATAGGTTGCCCCTTTTGGTCCATGCGCACTTCACCCTAGCTACAGACCCCTCCCTAGTCAGTTTGAACTTGCCTTCGTGACAGTGTAATTTGCTGATGTGGCACCTGTTATTCAGCAAGCTCAGCCAGTAACCCCCGTTTCCAACCTCTTAGGGACCTTGCTGATATGGCTTTCCCTCTAGCAAGGCCAGCAATTAAGCAACTAGGCAACAAGCGATCTCCCCCAGCCTAAACAACCTACTCTATGCCCTTGGTTAGATAAAATACTTTTTCAAAACATACAGCTGTTCCCAAAGTATAAAAAAAACCTATAAAAGTTTCAGGGGTACTCATCATGTGCAGGGCAGAGGGGGCTGCGGGCTGGGAGTGTGGGGCACCAGCAGGGCTAGGTTGGGAGGGGGCTGTGGTCTGAAGTGCAGGGCGGGCACCAGCAGGGGCTGCGGATCCGTAGCGAGAGGTACTAGCAGGTGTGGCAGGGCACAGGCATATCACTGCCCCCGCCATCTAATGTGCCCCTTTCTTCCCCCACCTTGTCCCCTGCCCGTGGGACGCATGCGGTGCTGTGCCAGTCGGCCCATCCAGGGCTGTGCTGGGGGGGGCTTTAGTGATGGGAGCACCCACACGCATCCCTGGATGAGCTGATCTGCCCAGCACCTGCCCTGGGAGTGGCCCAGTGTTGCCCATGCCCTGCCACTGGGCCAAGCCCCACCCACCCAGTGGTGGGAAGCCTGCAGTACATTCATTGCCCAGCCAAGAATTCATACAGGAACATACAACGTTCAAGGAAGCTCGGTGCTTCGTTTGCAGAGAGAGTCAGGGAAATCATGCTCCGTTTCTCCAACCCTTATCAGAGCTCTGTCCCTGACTTTAAATATTCCAAAACTTTCCAGCCAGAAAGTGAGCTGTCTTCAACATTTTCTTCATGGTGATTTACAATATGATTAAAGAGATGCTATTGAGTTTAAAGAACAAAAATCCACATCTATTTGCAGAAGAGATTCATGACAATTAGAGCATTTTTTCTAATTCATGTAATTTATACATTTATTGTGTTTACTCTTTGCACATCTCCCAGCTTAGAGAAGGAAGTCAAATTTTTGTTTATTTGCAATCATTTTTGCTTTGGGGTGTTATGACTAATGCAAAAGCTACAAGGGAATGTTTGCCTAATTTCTGGTGTGGCATTACCCCTCAGACAGTGTAGCATTCTGATTAGTGAACAGCTTCTGGTGGTTACCCTATAAATATGCTTTCTAAGGGCTCTGTTCAGTCCAAGTTTGCCTGTAAAATGCAAGGCCTTTGTCTAAACATGTCTAGTAGTGCAGGCTGCCCCCTTTTTTGAAGAGATACTACTTCATCTCTGATGCAAGTAATGGTGACTTCTAGTGTTCCACAGCCAGCTAAGCCAGCTCCTCCCTCATATATCATTGCCACATGGGGCTCCTGGAGGTAAATTGGGGAAAGCACCACCCAGTTATTCAGAAGCCTGGGAATAAGAATCTTGACTACTTCTTTCCAGAGTTTGTTCTGTTCTGTGTTTCTCTGGCTTAAAATACAAAGGTGGAGGTTTCTTTTCACGTTTGCCACCCCTCCCATCTGCCCCGTGTTTTTCTTCTCTCTTGCTTCATTTTGAGAAATAGGAAGGGGCCAGCTAGCTCCATAAGCCATTGTCATGGCAGAAGCCAGCTAGTGGAATGAAGAGTGTCGAAGTGGACAGGGATTATAAGGATTTCCACCCATCTGGGAGTGAGGAACTCCTAAAAAGTAACTGAAGAGTATGCAGTTTCAGACAAATGCTAAGATGGGGAAAGGTTCTCAACTGGCCAAGAGTCGGAAAGTGGGACTGGGGAAGTGTTAACTTGGCAGTTATTTGTCATTGTGGATATCAAATAACGGGTTGTACAAAATGGCAATGTTTCGTTTCGATTTGATTTGCCATTTCGAAGGGACAATGTTTTGTTTCGCTGTTCCGTTTCGTTTTGCGAAAACTGTTTCACTGTTTCAGATGAAAAGGGGGCAGAGGGAGAGTTCTAAATTCCCCTCCCCCCCAAACTTAGATGCAGTCTCTTTCCAACAACTAGCAGCCATGCCGCTTCTGCTGCTAGTGCACCAAGGAGATGGGAGCAGTGTCTGCATCCCCTCCAATAACACCTGCCATAATAACAGCAACCCCGAGTATTGGGCTGTAGCTCATTTAAACCCTACTTCTCTGTGGGTTAGGAGAACTCTGTGATTAACCACCGGCACTCGTTCGATAAACAGTCAGAAACTTTATTGACTACAAAACATCTACTAAGCACAAAGCTATTCATCAACTGGGGTTGCCAGAATACGAGTAGTCAATTTTACTGGGATTGCCAGAATATAAACAGACAGTTACCAAAAACTGCATGCGTTATTGTGACCCTTCACTACTTCACAATCTGTCTAGAGCTGTTACGGAAGAGTTACTTCCCTCATGCAGCCATTCTGGGAAAGCTTCCTGGGTTACGCTGTTGTTCCAAGTCCGAAGGCTTGGTTCTCCTTTAGAGATCCATGCAGATGTCTCCCTCAGAAATCCATACAACGAACAGTGAACAGCGAACACTAACTTTACCTGCTTAGGCTATTTAACCCTTTAGTGATGTCACCATTATTAATGCTAGCCAAGCTTGTTATATAATATTTTGGCTCATAGATCCTAAGAATACAATAGCACCTTGAGAATATTTTCCTGTTTTTTTTCCCATCCCCAAATTAATTACTCCCAAAAATTACCACGTTATCATTTTATTTTAAGGTTCTATTGTTCCATTGTTTTAAATGTTCCATGTTCCCTGGCATTTTACTGAGGTTAACTTTAGGCCACAATCACTGCCAATTTTGAGTCATCTCAAAAAGACTTCTGGGAGTTTGGTCGACTTCACATGAACAGATTCAATTTTCTTTGCAACACTGAGCACCACCACCATGACAGCAACAAGCAGCACCAGCATTGCAGTCTCCTCCAACCCAATTTTAATTTCCAGCCTGAGCCTTACAGTGCCAGAGGAAGAGCTGGAGCTGGAGCTGGAGCTGGATCTGAGTGCCATAGCAAGGGAAATGCTGGGGAAGGAGGGGGAATCATCTGAGTTTGTGCTCCACACCCCTCAAGTTTCCCCTAGAGCCAGGTCTCCTTCTCCAGAAGGCACTTTGGAAGAAGCTGAGGTAGAGGTTATGGAGTGTTACCAGATTTGCCCATTACTTTGGGGCGTGCTCATTTATTAAGGGTACGTTTCTAGGGTCTTGGCAATTCTGTCAATGTGCTGCTTATGTTACTTGTGTTTCTATATGGAGCTGTATATCTCCCTTCTGCAAGTCCTCACCCCCAATGGAGCTATCTTGCAGGACTCAGTTTCAATGGGGCTGGGTTCCTCCAGTCATCAAATCAGTCACACTCACAAACACACACAGATTAACGTGACACGCCTGACCCGGCCGGGTTGATCAGCATGGACAGGCTGACACCCTCATATACCAAGAATCAGTTCATCAGAGCAACAATAAACTGCAGTCAGACACAAGCACACAGGTAAACAGAATCCCTCTGAATCCAGCTGGGTGTCCAGCTGACACCCTCATGGGCCAGCATTCAGTTCATTAGGGCACGTCTGAGTCAAACTGGGTCAATCAGTCTATACAAGCTGATCCCCTTATGTGTTTCAAATT